TCATCAAGAGCTTTCATTTGAATACCTACTTGAATTTTAGATATATTTTTCATATATGTAATATATATTACATATATGTAATACACATATATATAAATATATGAAAAATTGATGTGGGTACTCAAATGGAAGCTCTCGATGAGTGTAATGTTGGGATGAGCTTATATCTTTAAAAATGTCATTAGTTGACAAGGTACAATGTCATTTCTTAGTTATTGACATTTTTTAAGATAAAAGCTCATCCCGATGTTACACTCATCAAGAGCTTTCATTTGAGTACCCACATGCATTTTGATATATATTATATATATATACATATATATATAACATATATAAAATATATGAGAAATTGATGTGGGTACTCAAATGAAAGGTCTCGATTAGTGTAATATCGAGATGAGCTTATATCTTTAAAAATGTCAATAGTTCACAAGATACAAGATCATCCCTTATTTATGTATCTAGAGATGGAGTATTTTCGAATGCAGCATAAATATTTATCATAATAAATTGAATATCTGTGAGAATGACATGAAACCTTGATAAGGCACAAATCCAAGTCAACATCTTCGTAATGACACTTAATTTTACTAAAAAACCGATTTTATCATATGACTACCCTAGATAAAAAATTTTGCTTATTCTCTTAATAATATAGATTAATTAAGTACGAACGTGAATTTATTTATGTTGTTAGATTTTTATTTGTTAAACATTTATTTTATTGACATTGGGGATTTTCAGGACCCGAAGTTTCTGCGGCAGACTCACCATTGCCTCAATATTCAGTGGAAACTCTGGTGATGGCAGTTGTTGCCGGTGCGCTAGCGGCGTTATTAGTCGGTTTTATAGCCGGGTATTTGTGTGGTCGCAAATGCCGGAAGGATGAGGATGACAATTTACCCTATCCTGACACCGAGTACGAGTACTTTGAGCAACGTCAGAATGTTAATAGGTCAGTGATTTGTTCTTAAAGACACAATGCGTTATAAACCAACTATTTAACTACCCTACTAAAATACGCTACTGTTGAAACAATAACCCAAATTATTTAAGGTAAATGACCCCTCTTTGGTTTTAGTATTATTTTATTAAACCCCTATTTCCGTGATTTATAATACTTAATTTATTGCCAAAAAACAAACTCCATAAATTTTAGGATTTATGGTATAAAATATTAATAAATAGTCATTTTATTACTCTGAAAATAAAGGGATGTTGATTAATTTGTTTGAGTGCTGTTTTTTTATTAAATATTCTGATAAATGATTTATTATAGAATAAAATTAATTCTAATTGATTTTTATAATCAAGATAAAGATAAATATTTTTTGTAATTTATATTTTACATTAAATCTAGTAAAACAGTAAAATTATTTTTTAAGTAAGATTATTTATTTGATTTTTAATAAATTGCATTTTATAAAAATTTGTGGATTAAAAAAAATGTCTAAATTGAAATTTTGATTTTTGATTAACAATTTTAAGAAGGTATATTAATTTATATAATTTTTTTTCCATGTTTCACGGCGATAGAAAGACAATTAAAGGCAAAGAAAAAAAAATTTTTTATAATTACATTCAAAATTATTACAATATATTTTAATATATATATATTTTTTATGCATTTTTTTCATGGTGAATAAATTGGAATAAATAAAAAATTTTCAATTATCTAATTAAATAAAATATTTATAAATTGATAAATTTAATAATTTTCTTTATTGACGTTTTTAAAGATATAAGCTCATCCCGATGTTATATTTATCGAGACCTTTCATTTGAGTACCTACATGGCATTTTTTATATATGTTATATATATGGTATTGTGAAATATATAAATATATAAAATATATGAAAAATTGATGTGCTTAAAATTGAGGTACTTAAATGAAAGGCTTCGATGAGTGTAATGTCGGGGTGAGCTTAGATCTTTAAAAATATCATTAGTTGGCAAGATACAATGTCATTTTTTAATTATTGACGTTTTTAAAGATATAAGCTCATTCCGATGTTATACTCATCGAGAGCTTTCATTTGAGTACCCACATGACATTTTTTATATATTTTATATATATGGTATTTGTGAAATATATAAATATATAAAATATATGAAAAATTGATGTGGGTACTCAAATGAAAAGTCTCGATGAGTGTAACATCGGGATGAGCTTATATCTTAAAAAATGTCAATAGATCACAAGATACAAGGTCATTTCTTAATTATGTATCTAGAGATAGAGCATTTTCGAATGCAACCTAAATACTTATCATCATAAATTGACTATTGCTGAGAAAGATATGAAACCATGAAAAGGCACAGCTCCAGGTCAAGACTTTTCTAACGATAGCAAATTTACCTATAAAAACCCATTTTATCATATAAATACACTGGCCATAAAATTTTGGTTATTCTCTTAATATAGATTTAACAAACAAATAAATTAATGAAATAATAAAAATAAAATAAACTTTGAATAATGAACTATCAGAGGGATCATTTACCTGAATAAAAAAAAATTATTGTTTTTTTAATGAAGCTAAACAAATAATTTAAAAATTTCAACAGTAGATTAGCGCCAGAACCAAAACTACTGCCCCAAGAAGAAGTGACGTATGCCGAGCCGGTGCTGATGCCTCAGCCTCCAAAAATGCACTCTCCAAAGGGCACCATGCGAAAGCCGCCACCGACTCCAGCAGAAACTTTGTTCCAGTTCCCGGAGGCATACGGGTTCCGCGGCGGACCTCGGGACAACTTTGGAACACTGAGATCGTGCCAAGGCACGGACGCGTACCGCCGCAACGACGGTTTCGCCACGACCCGGAGTGTGAAGAAAGTTTATCTCTGAGAAACGAGTGAGGAGGGAGGCGGCCGTCACCGTAGTTTAGGACGGCCAGGAAGAAATCGTCACAACGCAACTTCTGGAAGAAATCGCGGCGTGACCTCCGGTGGCGGACAATCCAGTCGCGGGGAGCTGGCAGGAGCGAGGACCCTTGAGTCGCCCTCGCCCCCTTCCAGCGTGTCCTCCAGTTCGCCATCGCCTCCCTCCTCTACCCCATCACCACCACCCACGTTACTACCGATGTCTATAAACGACGGGTCTCCACCACCGCCGACACCGCCCTGCAGTTTTATATACCGATCATAGTCTTCAAGTAACGGTACTCATATTTACGATCCTCCCCACCAAATTCGTAATATTTAATTAATTAATCAAATTATTCAATTAATTAATTAAATAGTTATTATCGTTACTAATATCGATGTTTCTTTTTTTTTTGCTAGTATGTACGCTGTTAAAATTTCTGGTGTGGTTCAAGGTGTTTTATTTTTTTTTTTTTAAACAAGGTAAATTTTCTAATTTTGGTTCAAAACATTTTTTTGAGCTGCAGAAAATTAGAAGAAAAATTTTATAGAGAAACAATGAATTTTTTGATTCAAGGGAAATATTATTGATTGTCTTGATTCAAAAAATGAATCAAAAATTTTAAATTTAAAGATCAAAAGTATGATCTTTTTTTTTTTGTTTTTTAAAGTCACTTTAACAGGTTGAACTATTTTTTTTTTTTTTTTTGGGCTAAGCAGAATAATACACTTAAATATTGAAAATATTCACTGGTGTACGCCGGGCTCGAACCTGATTCAATGATTTGGTAAGCTACGGCCGATAGACTACTGCGCGCCCTTATGATCTGTATAAGATACATAAAAACAAAGATTTTGTTTTTCTACACTGAGAAAAAAAATACTTTTACTCAATTAACAATTTCTTGGTTCAAGAAACTCGCTGACGATCAAATATTCTAATATTATTAATTATTAATTTCTTAAGAGAAGAACATCAATATTTATCTTTGGATAATAGATGAACAAAATGATAGCTTTATTTAAATTAAGGAAAAATTATTTCAATCAATTTAACAATTTCTTGAACTAAGAATATATAATCTTGAAAATTTTCAAGAACATAAATTCTTGTACCAAGAAAATTTTCTTAATAAAAGTATTTTTTTTGCAGTTATTTTTAAGACTTATTTTTGGTGATATAAAAAATAAAAAAATAAAGAATTGTTGGTAACATTGAATCAAGTCAATAAAATTTTGAACCAAAGTTACTGGCTATCTTAATTTTTGAAAAAGAAATTGCTGGGCAAAATTGGTTTAACAGTAAAATTTTTTCATCAAAAAATTTTACTTTTTGTTTAAATAATTTTTTTCTTGAATCAATAAATTTTTCTTCAAAGAATTTAAAAATTCCACTGAATTAAAAAAATGGAACACTTTAAATGGATCATATAATATTTGGAGCCTTTAACGGGAAAATTTTAGCAACGTACATATAAATATACAAATGTATATACATATACCATCAAAAAATAGAGAAAAGAAAAGAGGAAATGAACAGTAACTGGAAGCTACAAAACTACCCAGTCACGGGTTTTTAATTATTTTTTTTGCCCATTAACTCGTGCGCTGTTTAATTGAGGGTATACAGTAGAGTACAGGTACAAGCGTACATGTACATCTGTATCTGTGGGTGCGGGTATGTGTAGTTATGCGAGAATGCTCTGTAGTTAAATGGTGTGCGTGGGTTAAATGTATCGTATAGACATCGAGTGTCATGCATGCTTTAAATTACATCTGGTGTGTATATTTACACTATGTAAACGGGGAAACTATTTTTTATCGAGATGCCTGATACTGACTGACGGTATGCTACTGTACGCGCTGCGTTACTCGGTCAATTTTACACCCTTACCACTCTCTGTGCGACGTATAACGTTTAGTTTTAGTTTATTTACTTCATTAAAATATATTAATATTAATATTAATAATAATTAGTAACATTACATACCATTATGTTGAATTTAAGATAGTAAACAATTTAGCCGATGATTTACATTGATACATTGAGATCTCTACATAAACATTACATTATTTTTATAATTTTATACTTTAACAGTAAGTACCTCGATCGAGTTTTATTGTTATTGTTGACTTATCGTATTATCCTCACCTTTGTCGGGTTAGTTAACATTTAAATATGACTGTAACTAGCTGAACATTAAACATTAAATTAAAGATAAATTACAAAAAAAAAACAAAGTGTGTTCGCGGGTTGTGTCGTGACTTTGACTGATTTAAAAACTACGAACAAATTATCGTTTTTTTCTTTACAATTTATTATTAATTATTGATAATTATTCAATAGAATTTTTAATAAATAAATAAATAGGTTGTAAGTAATTCGCTGGTAGTCTATTTATGGACAAATGTTTGTTCCAGTTACATTAAATATCATGATCTCCGTTAAAGAGGTCTTTTGCGCATGTTAATTATTTTTAAAATAATTGAAATTTTAAAATGAGAAGCTGATTTTCAAAAAAGTATCTTTTCATATTTTAAAAGATCAGTTTTCTGAATTTTTAAATATTATAATTAATTAATTGAATATTATAATAATATAATTATATTTTTGCTGTCTAGCTTTTTGCTTTGGCATTTAAATCTGAATTAATAACATAAATAAATATTAATTACTTCGAAAATTATAAAGATTTATAAATAAAAAATCGAATTGCAGCTTTATAATTGATAGCACTTTATAGCTAAATTAAAACAAGTTCAATACAAATATTTATAATTGAATATAACCAGTTTTTTGTCTCGATGAATCAAAAATAAAGAGATACCTTTTTAAGACTCAGTTCCTCAAATATGGAAAATTTTTTAAACTTCTCGTTAAAAAAAATTTTTTAATTTGAGAAGATATATTAGAAAAATTTAATTCTAATAAATATTTATTGTAAATTTTCTTATATTTGAGCAGAATTTTCATTTTAAAATGAAAATATTAAATATTGATAAAAAAAAAATTTACGAAATTTTTTTACGCGCAATTCAGACTTCTTTAATTTGTAATTTTGTTAAAAAAAAAAACTAAAAATTACACGCAATAAATAAATCGCATTAACAGGAAAGTAATAAGATAAAAATTAGCAGGTCCTGGCAAAAAAGTAAATAAGTCAATTACCGTAATTTTAGCTTATGATCGCCGCCAGACAAGTTTACGATGGCCGAACACGAACAAACTCACACTAGTCTTGTAATTCCGGATTTAATGATATATTTAGCGTAAAAATGACACCAACATTTTAACAAACAAACTAATACTTATAACTTTTAATAATAATAAATAAATAAATAAATAAATAATAATAATACATTTACACTCGTCAATATACCAAATATAGAGAATAAAGCCTGATTGAGTAAACCGGAAATTTTTTTTTATTTAAAATTTTTCATTATTATTTTACTGAAGAAACAAAAATGGAGATCATGATTGAACATAAATTTATAATTTGTAATAACATTTATTATTACTAAAAATAATAGAGAGTCATACATTAATTATAAAACAGTGTTAATTAATTCCAATGAAACGTAAACTGGGCCGTTAATATAGCGTAGAGAACACATGACGACTTGTTAATTAAAATCAACAACAGTTGAGTTTTAGTTTATTTCTGGATTACTAAAACGAGCATAATAATAAATTGTTTTGAATATATACGCCTTCATACTCCCTGAAATACGTAATGACGGATTCGCTCCGAGGATTAATGGGTCAAGAGAAGTCGAATACTTTTTATTTTTAATTAATACCAAAAATAATAGAGATAAAGGATAAGATTAAGAGTAAAGTTAAGAATAGCGGTAGGAGTAAAGAAGGCTTTTTGTATATATAATAATAATTCATAATAATAACTATAACTACATATTTATGGAATGAATACTGTCAGTTAAAAGTTGTGTGAGTGACGAGTAATTGTAATTATAAATTAATTAAACTTAAAGATTTGCATTTGCGGAAAGCGCAGTAATGGCGTGTGTAGAAAAGTCTATCGTAAAGTGCTTCTTATTTCAGTGTGTTTAGAAGTAACGCGTATGTGATATATTCTATATATATTATGATGATGATGATGAGATATTTTCTAGACAATGGGTTAAGAGTAAGATTAACAGGTGTTTATTATTATTATTATTATTATAAATACTTGCATTAAATTTAATAGTAATCTAATGATAAAAAATTTAAGCTCTACACACGCGATAACAAGCTCCTTTGTTCACAAATTCATTCTAATTCTATTGATTATTATTATTAATTAATTAATTATAAATAGTGTTAGACGGTGTATTGAGGACTTAAAATTGTGCCATTTGCACGTTAATAAAGTAATATAACGTGCGACTTTAGTAATACTGAGTTGTGAAACAGCTAGTATTTGCTTTCCATAAATCAATTAGTCGTGATAATAATGATTTAATCTTTAAGTAGTTGTGTGGGCGTGCTTTAGCTGAATTATGTGTCTGTTAATTTACGGGCGTACTAATGCTATTAATTTGTACTTTGCAAACTGTTATCTTAAGGTGTTTCAACCAAATTATTAGATTTATTTTATTAAAACTTTAAGTTAATATACTTTATTATTAATATAGATCATTTTATTTTTTATTTTTACTTTATTTAGGTATTGTTTTATTTTATGTATTTTATTAATTTGTATCTATGCAGGCGTGTACCAATTATTTTGTGGCTTTGAATTTTTTGAGGTAAATTCAGTCATGTTGAAGAAAAAAAATATGTTGTGAAATTTTTTTTTATGAGTTTCAGGACACGAAAATTGAAACTAAAAAAAAACGATGTAGAAATTTTTTTATGTTATTTTTAAACAAATAATTTGTGAGGACAATTAAAATCCCAGTGAATTTTTTTTTTAATTAATTGAATTTTTTTTTTCAATAAACTTTATAAAAATTTTAAAGTTACAATATTTAATA